ATAAGTAAGGTAAGCTTTGCTTTTGTTTCTTTTCGTTTGGGAAACCTTCTATCTGATTCTGAATAATTCAGTCAAACCTTATCGCCAACCTACATAATCATATGATACCGAATCTCTTCTCTTGCCGGTATTCCGGTACCGGTATGATATATGTATTATAATGACATTGTGATTTCAAAAAGTACGATCTGGTCATCTGATAAGCTACCAGAATTTTGATCCAAACATTCTCCAAATTTTGAAGGAATGTACAGACTACCATTCCATCATCAATTATATCTACCTATTTACAAGTTCTCAATTATCTCTAAGATAGCCCCGTACCACCCACCCATCTGGTGCAAGCACAGCTCCCTCAAGGTGCTGTAGTTCATGAAAGGCGTGGACAGATTGCGGAGTACAGTATCTAGGAGTTGGTTAGTCCTCTTTTTCCCGCTAGCTAGAAATATGATTGCCAAAGCGGGGTTTTGTTTTCGTTTTTGCTACCAATGGCTAGTGTTTATCCCGTTTTAGTCAGCTGTATCGGGGGTTTACTTCTCCAGGTTGTAATTGACTGGTTGAATTTGATCTTTCTTCTCTTTTTACCATGATTTACTGGAGACACTTTACTGGAGACACCTCGAGCAAAGTGGAGATCATACCTAGAAGGAGCGGAGCCAGGGTGGCCAGGATAGTGGTGCACCACTCCGATGAACACAACCTCTAGTTACTAGAACGCGGAGCGCTGCAAGTAAAAGCTTGCCGGAACGATGATGCGGATAGAGGTAAAGCAACGGGTATTGTGAGGCTTGGCCGTAGTTGGGTTCGGTCGGTAAATACTTCAAGAACTCGAATAATTGGACCTGGCTCTAAGAGGTTTGATTAAGGTGTGGCATGCCAAGAAGTGTTATGCAATATCAGTTTCAGATATTAGCAAAAGTCATTTTCTTCATAAAATACATCACTTTCATCCTCCTCATCTAGTTCAACCTCTTCCTGTTCTGATTCCTTTCCCTCTTTCCAATCCTCAAGTCCCTCAATTAGGTAAGTGGAATCAATTCCTTTTACAGATATTTCTTGATCAAAGGCACCACTAATTGGAAGAAAGAGGCCTAGAACCCGGAATACCTTCACCATGACCTCCATCCGATCATGTGAGAATTTCTCCTATGCCTCTCCTACTGCCCAAGTAGTAAGTACTCTCCTCTGTCCAATCATACTTCCATCTAGTTGTCCTCCTGCTAACACTATTCACTCCTCCTCTGCCTCCACCACATCTAACTTTTCTTCAAGCACCTCCTATCTCATGATTAGTTTTTTTTTTAAAAAAAAAAAAAATTCTAAAGGTAAGCCACCTACTTTTAATTTGTCTTTAAAAGGACGGTTGATAGAAACATCAAGAGGTTGTACCAAGGAGGTACAGCTACCTGGAATCATGCTAACGATGATATCATAAGTAAAGAAGGTATCAAGGACCTCTTCGGTCTTATGTGCACCCAAGAGGTCCCATGCAAGAGGTGTTGGTCAGTCCCCCGAAACCGGGACAAGTTATTCATCCAACTATTGAACAACGTTGGATGAGTTGGCATAGGCTTTGGGATTGAACTTGATGACAACGTGAGGATCATAGCTTTGTTTTTCTGTAAGTATCGTCGCTCCTACCCCCTGTACTCAAAAGAATACTAATAGTTTTACACGAGGTACACCATCAGCAAAAACAGTGAGCTGAATCATAGCTTGTTGTTTGTTCCAACCAGACTGGGAACTCTGTGCCCATATTGTCTTTGCTCCCCTTTGGTTGTAGGTTCTTCCCTCCAAATACTCAAATGGTAGAGGAGCCTGATCTATATTAACTATATTTGATAGCTTCTATCGACCAACCTCCTTAGCAACATCACCAGCATCCTGGGTGCTGCTTGGTTGTAATTGTGAGTTTCTTCTATTAAATCTCATCCAACTTAATACTATACCACTAAAGTCACTGGGGAGTTTACTGGCAGTATTGGTTATAAAATGTAGGCTAATTTGGTGGAAACTTAGAAAGCACCGAAACTATGCATTCAAGAAATAAAATGAGGTACATAACTCTCTTACGTAATGCTATATGAAGAGTTCTTTGCTAACGCATCAAAACCAACCTCGGTGAACAATTCTTCCTGACCCATGACAATATCGGAACTTTTCATAAAGTTCCTGCTCAAGTACCTCCCACTTTCGTGGCCTTCCTCCTCCTAGAACGTGGTACTTCTCAAGACTAATGTCATGGAATTTTCCCTCCTTCTCTTCCTCTCTCCATCATGAAAGGTTTGTTTTTGGTACCTTAAAGTGGCAGGCTGTTTCTGTCCTGGCAGGCTTACGGAGTTGAGTAGGTCCTGTGGATATACTAGAGATAGCCTAATATGATAATACTTAGAGCTTATAGCTAACTTTGAATGATTGGTAGGGCATTTTGACGCATCGGAGTGCTGCTCTTAGACCTTCAGCAAGTTGTTTCTGTTCCAGCCTGGCTTTTTCTGTACTCCAGCGTAGAATCGTCTGCTTGATAATGGTGATAGGATTGGATGAACTGGAACATGTCCCATCTGTTTTGGAGCCATAATTTGATAGAGCAGGTCGTTGGAGATTGAAATAGCTTGTTCTCTCATATTCACAGAGTTTGTTTACATTTCTCTCTTTCCCAAGCTTCATCGGTTGAGGTTCAAAATCACAGGTCAAAGCATATGATTGATTATCTAAAACATTCTTAAAATGTTATATTTACTCATATCCGAAACATATACTTTAATTCAACCTCTTAGCGCGAGGTCCAATTATTCGAGTTCTTGCGGTACTGTGGTAGGACCTAGGCCCACCTGGTTGGCAGGGGAATGATATCTTATGCACTTTGGTATGATACAATGCAGCCGATAGATAATACCCATCACGTGAAGTCTGGTATGATATCATGAGAAAAATTCGTGAACCTCCTCGTTAGAGTGTGCCCAGATAAGACACGTGACGGATATATCTATTTGCCGTCCTTGTATTAATAGTAATTAATACAACTTTTTCAGGCTTTACATGAGCTGCCTGTCTTGGTGAAAAATGAATGCTGTCTACGTTATGTCCGCTTTGTGTGTCAGAGGAAAGGCAAGACAAATTTTGTAGGTTTTACGGAGGTGTTATCAGATACCGGTACATACTATGATGCAACTCGGTCAAAGAACGTGTTCAGTGTTACATACCTTCTTTATCAAAGATTATGTGCAGTTTTCGCGTGGACCGGTCTTGTGCGAAGGAGAGGGGATCGTCTAGCCGTGGCGAGTAAAGCCTGACCCTGGGAGTCTCTCTATTGCCTCAAATTACCACCAACTTGAGGCACTTTGAAACATCATCTGCTGATCTGAGAGGTCTATCGAGTGATATTACATGATGATACGCAGATCCCACAGAGTGCCTTTGCGAGGTGGGGCGGTAGTTGATCCACCACTTCCCAAGCTTCGACCCTAATACCGTAGTTTCATATCGAATATGTGCTCGTATAATTTCCACTCTTAGAATGAAAAGAAAAATAGTACATATCTTGAACTATCTTGTACTCTCATCCTTTATTCTTTTACTCCACAATACATCCACCCCCCCCTAACAATTCTCCGAACTGCCACGACCATCTCTCATTTTCTAGTAACTACAAGAACCCCCGCATCATCCTGCCCAACCTACCGCTCGTAGGGGATCTTGTTACTTCCTGGTGTGACAAAAGCACTATCATCATCATCGTCGTCGCCATCATCACCATCACCGCCACCGTCACCGCCGTCGCCACCATGCCTCACCGCAATGCCTGTCATGAAGCGGACCACGCTCAAACGAAAGCCATAGTTCTCTCGAACCTCCACTGGTTCTTTCTCGCAATTCCGAATTACTCCAAATTTCGGACTGACCAGATTTTCGATTTGATTTTCGATAGAGCCTACGTTCCTACGCGTACAGAGCTGGTCAATGCATTCTATGAATTAATCGACGCGGGAATGGTGCCGGAGCTCAAAGGTATTCGGGTGGATGAGAAGAAGAGAAGAAAAAAGCACGAGGTGTTGAAGGAGAGGGTGAGGATTAGGCGAGAGGAGAGAGGGAATAGGGTTCTATGGAGGAAGGGTGAATGGCCTAGGAGATCGTTAGGGGAGATTAGGAAAGCGTGGCTCAAGAATACCCAGAAGAGAGCAGTCAAGAATCGGGGTAGCGGTAGAGGCGAGAGTCATAGAGCCAGTGTTGAAGACGGATCGCAGTCTCCGCCGCTGCCCAGAGCAGGAGATGGCTCCAAGAAGAGACGCCCCACTATTCGGCAGGCTAGCAGAACCAAACCACATTGTGTCCAGTCTCCCACGCCTCCACCCGCCGATTGCATACCCCCAGAAACCACACTGCAAGCATCCACTCATCTAAGAAATAAACCACGATATCGTACGACGGTTTCGTATAGAGACCAAAGGGACCTCCTCGAGGCGATGCACAAACTATGTCTTCACTCTTCGTTCGAATTCTGCAAATTTCGACTCCGTTTAGACCTCACCAGAAATATCGGCGATCCAACCCCCTTCCAACTTGAAACCCTCATTAAGGCTATCGTAACTGCGTGGAATACAGGAAAATTCGATGGTAGTTATATCGATGAGGACATTGGGCTTGGCTCTGGAAATGCGTTTTGGAGAGCGGGTTGGGTAGCTGTTGCGAGATTGTATAAGTGGCCAATGACGAATCGGCGGTTGCTAAGCATCTTACAGACGGGGGAAGAATTTCTGGATGCGCTATTGGATGAAAGAAGAGTTGATATGGCGGGCGCGCTTTACGAAAAGGCGGAGGCAATGGTGAGATATGCCTCAGAGGAAAGCTATGTGAAGGAGACCGGGTCGGAGGTGCGGTCCAGGACAGCAACAGAGATGGAGGCAGATCTAGAGCTAGAGTCGAAAAGAGAGGCTGATAACCGGGTATGGAGTAAGGGGGCTGATGAGCTGGATAGTGGTGCAGGCTGAACCCGCGGCTACGGACAGCGATAGTAGCAGCGATACTGAAGACCAAGGAGTTAGCTTGGTTGGGTACGAAGGGTGATGGGATACGATTTGTGCTTAAATTAACGTAGCCAAGCAAGATGCTTAATATCTTTTAAACCATCAGGGGTCTCGTTGAGTGAGTATAATTGCCGAATGTTTTGTCGGTTTTAAATCGGAGATTGGGTATTTAAGCTCCTGTCGTGTACTGTACTCGTACATCGTACAAACTGTTTTTTAAAGCCTCTGGAACGTGCGTTGCCAGTACTTGGGCCCAGGTTATGATTGTTTCTGCAAATTCTGGTCTTCGTGAAGGGATCAGTTACACTATAATTGAATCACATATTTTTTTCCCACTCCGGAGACTTTAAAAAAAAGGCCAGTATTCTAATACATGAATCGCTTAAAACCTTGCTTCAAGGAGAATCGAGACCTGGGCTCCCATAGTTGATCATATCCCAAATATGGTCGATTTCATATCTATAACTTGACCTAAGCTCCGAGAACGCCATGAACCGTCAATGAATCGTCAGATGTTACTAAGAACTCCTCACAGGTACTTCTTGGCAGCCTGCTTAACCTTTCCATCGAACACCCCGCTAGTGATCCTCATATCGACCTCGTAGAATGGATTCATAAGTGTTTTTGTGTAAAGGTCATACACATCTGTGAAGAACTGACGAATTGCATCATCCGCTTTCTGATCATGGAGCAATAAAAATTTGATATCTACCTCTTGGTCAACCCTACACTCTAGTCAATATTGATAAAATATGGAGTAATACTTCCGGCGGTCAGAAAACAACTGACTTGAAGATTGTTGAATTTATCAACGCATTTCATGTACCTGATAACATTAGCCGGAGGCCGCGGAAGATGAGATATGAAATATAACATTGTGGGAGTCGCCCACTGGACTTCCTCAACTATGTCAAGGCTCGAGTGGACGATGAACTGGTTCATAGAACGTTGCTCTTCGCGGAACTAAGGCGGCATCAACAACTAGGCCGAAGATGATGGTGACAGTACGGGAGGAGTACTCGAGCTACGCCATCGCCACCTTGCTTTGAGGTCCCAAATTCGGCTTCATAAATTGGGTTATCTTTTGTGCCGACAATAGCAAAATAGAAGCTCATTTCGATATGCTCAAGTGTTGCTCGCAGTAACAAGGGGGGAAATTGGTGGAATCGAATAGTTTCTAGGTTTGTTAGGACGCACTTAAAAGGTCAAAGTTATGCTGGTATGCAATGGTTGTTATAGGGGTTCTGGCGGTTTCATACCTTGTTTGCAAGCTTTGAGGTGTTTGTTGAGACACGGAGTCTTAAACACAGGTGGCCTGAATCGCATGTTACCCCGTTGGAGGTTCAGGGATTGGATAGGTTCATGACTAATCTGCCAGGATAAAACAATTGGCCCCTCTGGTAGACTATCATCGGACCATCTTTCCAACCGTTTCCCAATACCCTCAATCCATCAATCCCAACTCAACCGCATACAAAAAATATCAGACATGCCGTATGCACTCCCTATCTCGCCATATTTACCTGCGCTGGTATTCCGGGAGGCTTGGGACTAAAACGATCGCAGTGGCTTTGTTTACCGTGAGAACCGTGTCCCTCACTACCAGCGCCTATTCCAGAAGAACGATGGTGTGAGGCAATGGTACAAGGTTTGTTTTCTTTCCTGGACCATATTCGCTCGTTCGCCACAGCGCAGTTATTGATCCCCCTCGACAGACTCCGCGATCCAAGATGATGCTCTATCCGTACTTCGTTATGCTTAGTCTCGGAATTTCCGGCTCTCTCTATGGAATGTGCAGAATGGTGATGGTTGGTCACCCTCTGCGCCAACGGTTATGAAGGAAACTGACATGGATTGGTGGCTTTCCAGGGCAAGAAGTCGTACTTTTAAACCCAGTTGCATTGTTACTCGCAATCGTAATGCGCCTATCAATTATTATTTTTGCTAGTGGGATGCGATGGGACTGGATGTGAGGTTTGGGGGTTTTGAGGTGGGGGAATGTTTGTGCATAGCAAATATGAAATAGAAGCGAAGTGTAAAATTTCCCTTTAGATGTTAATGCCAAACAAAGTAGTTTTGTGGACGTAATACTCGGCGAGCGTGTTTATATGCGATAGGACTACTGTAGACATACTGCATCTGGGGTGGCGCTTTGGTTTTGCCGTGCTGTACTCGTACTTGTAATGGGGTGGTTCCTATCGTCGTTCTTGGAGGATGGAAAGAGTCGAGGCGGCTCTTTCCATTTCTCGGCATTCCCCAGAGAGTGACGGGGAAGACCGGAGTGGTTCAAGAAGTGGCCTCTCCTATCCTTCTTCCAATTTCTCCCCATCTTCCTCCTATCCCCCATCTCTCTTTGACGGCTCAACCAGCATCGCTTTTTGTTTTTCTCCACCCTTTTCTCCCTAATTGCAGTTGGCCGATCCAAAGTCATGGCGCAAAAATATCTTGGAAAGATCCTCGGCGACGAGAAAAATAAGGCTGAACCAAGCATCGCCTCTGATGACGACGGTACGTTTCATCGATTTGGCGGCTATCTCCTTAGGCACCTTCAATGTGTCAATCTGATGGTGCTCGGTCTCCATGAGCTAATTTGCAGTTTCCCAGACTTTGCTGATTTTGCGACTCCATCTCCTGCTACCCCACCCCCGTCACCAGTGTCTGTTGCTGCCTCATCTTTGACCTCTATCGGTGCCTCCTCAACTCCTGCTGGTGCTCCGATTGGATTTGATGGGCCTTGGTATGCTCTCTGGGAGCGTCACTCGCTCAGCGAATTCCAATTCGAAGGTTACATTCTCCTCCTTCTCTTCGGCATACTCGGCTGTCATGTCTGGGGAACCCGCCGAAATCGCGCTATTGCCAAAAAGTTCTTCGACAGCATTAGTCCTGTCCTAGGACAGGAGTTTGCATATGTTGGTTTTGATTCTTATGGTCGAGCAAATACCGAACAAGCCGTTACCGCTGATTACGCCCTGAAGGAAAACCATCCTCTCGAGTTTATCACCTATGCTTCTGGGAGACAAAATGTTGCATTTATGCACACCACTATCAAGCTTCAACGCAGATTAAATCCAGTCACTTGGTTTGGAGAGCACCTTTTCGCGTTCTTCTTTGAAAGTGTGCCAACCCCTACCGATAATGCTACTATCACTATTTCCCCTTTTGATGGTCAAGATGCTGGAAAGGGTGGCCCAAGCTCTAAGTATGATAACTTTATTTGGGCCTTGGTTAATAAGAATCAAATGAAGAGGTGGAGAGAGGATCGTTATGATCTTTCACTTACTAGAACCTCCGATTGGGATGGGCTCCCGAACTGGTTAGCTGTTATGAGTGAAAGCAAGGAGATCGGGGACACTGTCTTGACTAAGGAATTGAAGGAGGCTGTTATTGGTTGCCAGGATATTCTTGAATACTTGATCGTTAGCGACCAGCCTATCGATAAACCTACTACGTACGTTACTTCTTTACCATGTGGTAACCTCTCCTAATATCTCCTAGTCTTGCAGAAACAGTTCCGAAAAAACGCGTTATTCTCCAGGTCAACATTCCACCAGACACGGCCCCCACCGCCTTGCCCAAACTCCTTCAGGCATTTATTCGCTTGGTTGATCATCTCGCAGCGGTTGCTCGCTTCCGCCCAGAGGTTCTCCGAAAGGTCAAGGCCGTTCGCGAAGAAGAGTCTAAGAAACTCCAGAAGCAGGCCGATGAGGAAAAGGCCGAGGAGCGACAGCATAAGAAAGACGAGGATAAGAAGCTCGAAAGAGAGAAGAAGCTTCGTGGAATGAGTGCCGAGGAACAGAAGAAGTTCCTTGAGAGAGAGCGGGAGAAGGAAACCCGCAAGGCCATGAAAAGACAGACTAAAAAGTAGTCTTGGGCCCCGGTTTTTCGACTTTTTTGCTTGCTCGTTTTTGTCTATCCGGTGAAATGTTAAAAAAAAACTAAGAAAGTGTTGGGGTTTAGGGGAAATGGATGATGGAGTGGACACATGTTACCGGGCAACGAGTGCCCAAACATTGGGCTCCGAATTTTGTATGGACGCACTGATGCGCACAGACAATTGGCCACACTTTTGTTTGATCACTATATTCCAGCACTTATTGTCCGCATCAGGTAGGCCGGGTTTGGTTGGGAAAGGGGATCTTGGGAACCCCCAAACGTGAAGATGTTCTGAAGGTTGAATATAATGTTGAATATCTGTTTAGCTACCGGATCTAGTGATCTCCAGATCCAAACCCGCCATGATGACGCCAGTGTATGATCAGAATTGGACGCCCTAGCAATTGTAAATGCTCCCTGTGATACGTCTCAGACGACCCGTCACCTAGCCTAACACCAAATTCACCTTATATCACTCGATGCTTTGTTTCAATTGTGCTATCACTGCGCAAAAAAAGGGGGGAAAATTGTAGACCATTAATAGCCAAAAATTGTATCGACAGACTCAAACCCACACACCCTTCGCGAGCATTTTGAAAGGAAGGGAAAAATAAATAAATTAATAAATGTTGTGATGCCCGCAAGGAAGGGAAGAAAGTGCCCCGCCAACATTCTACCCCGGTTTTTCCTGCCCAAACTCTGGCGAGCCAAGCGCAGTGACGAGCACGGTTCTCCAGACGAAAAAGGGTACCAAGCAGGCCGAACCCTACTCGACCGATCGCTTGATAGGAGACCGGCAGACAGGCAGGCAGCATTAATATTATAAGCAAAAGAGTACGAGTAGAATAGATTTCCCAGCAGTTCGCGCATCTACCGAACCACGGAACCGCTAGATCCAAGTTATCACACCCGTCAGCGTAACATCCGTCCAGGAAAAAGGCCAACCCACCCATCCCGATGTGAACGCGAGAAGGAAAGAAAGAATGTATATATCATAACAGAACCCACTAACTTACTTGTTGTAATGGGGTCCCGCAAGCAATAACTGTATGTGGCGTATTGCCTACTGAAGGTGTGTGCAATTCAAGCCCCACCCGGGCTGGTCTGTTCAGAGGGGAGCACCCGGTCTATCCACACATGGCGCAAATTTAATTTTTTGCTTTGGTCCAAAGTGGATTTCAAGAGTTCAAGGCGTCGTCGGGGAAAAGGTTACATGGATTAATAAATAAGGTGAAAAAGTATCATATCATATTTCCTGTCCTGTCCCCAAGTTTTTCACCCGGCCGTATATCATAGCTGTGGTCTATGGCTTTGGCGCTACTGTGGGGAGGGTTGTTGGCTGGGCTCGGAACATGCTGGAGGGTTGAGGTGTAGATGCTTGGATATATGGTAGGGATATGATATTATGATAATTCGGGGTTTCGATATTATTGGGAGGTTGGGTAATTTGTTTGCTTGCTAATGGGAGTATGATATGGCGATGGAGTTCGTCACTCTCTGGTAATGATCGCTATGTATGATGGAGAGAAAAGGATGTGTTAATTATTACATGCAGTCCCATCACTTCCCCCCCCCCCCCCCGCCGCATCCAAAGATACAATAATGGCAATTTCTGTCTACCGTAACTATCTATGTACTGTACTATTACAAACCCGATCAAATCCTCACCCCCTGCCTTCCCTTCCACCAATACTTGTAGTAAATGCTAATTAGGGAGATATACACCGCCAGAATCCCCGTCTGGGCCGGCGCGAATATCATCCCGCGAAGCACCAGGAGGAAACAAACGATAAGGAACGAAACCGGCGTCCACATTGGTGGTCTATAAGCCCTGCTCAGATCGGGTTGGGTGTAGCGCAGATAAATCAAGCCGGATATTGTCGCTAGATAGGATGAGTATTCGGTTATCCCAATGAATGTTACGAGGGAGCTAAAGTCTCCGAGGAGGATGTATGTGCAACATAGAAGGGAGTTTAGGATCATTGCTCGGCTAGGGCGAAAAATTTGTCAGTATTGTAAGGAGGTGGGTATGTATAGGATATATAGCCTCACAGAGGAGTTCTCCAGGTAGCATTTGTTGGGGGTTTTTGAAGGGATTCTGGAGGACTGTCGAGAGTGCCATACGTGGGCGTCGCGGATGTGCCCTCTTCCGACGAATATCGCCAGCCTAGGACTCCCCAGAACCTTGGAATGTGGCCTTTGTTTGCGGCGGACGCTGTGAGTCTGCCGGTTGTAAAGATGTTTGCGTTCAGCGACCCAGCACAGGCTATGGATACCAAGACTGCAAACATCAAACCCCCGGCAGCGCCCAAGGTCTTCAGTCCTACTGCCTGCGAGCTGTTAGATGGGCGGTATTTCCCCTGAGATTAGATGAGAGCATACCACTGCAATGGTATTTGTTGCGCCGATGACATCCCACGGAAGGATGACATAGTAGCACAGGTTTGTGAGAAGAAAGCAACTTATCACAGTTGGTAAAGCCAAATTCATCGCTCTTGGCAGATCTCTTGCCGTATTGCGCATTTCACCGGCGACAAAGTTGACCTGTTTCGCAGATGTTAACATTATCCTCTGACTTGGCTTTATGCAGGGCATCTCACGTTATCCCAACCACCATATCCCCAAGTACCGGCCCACAGCGCAGCGGAATAATAGCCCATTGATTCCCATGTTGTCAAGAAAGCCCAGTCAACGCGGTGGCCCTCCGCTTCTGTGGGTCTATTCGCAAACCAATTTCGAGTCTTCCAGTCCACACTGGGTCCGGCTCCTTCAGCATTCAATCCAGTAAACATGGCGAGGATAGCGAGCATTGCGATGATCCCCACCGTCGTAAGTTTTAGGAAAGAAAACGTCCCATTGAGATTGGACGAAGCCTTGGTGCTGACAGAGTTGAACAAAGTGAGAGAGGCAAGCGCGAAGATAGCCAATGACTTGTCCAACCAGAAAGTGTCCTCCCCACCCCCAAAAATCGCACGGGTCCAATATTCGGCGAAAATAAGGCTAAGAATGGCCATGGAGCATGGTTTCACTGCAGCGATCCAAGTGAACGATACGAGCAGTGCTGCGAAGTCTCCGTAGATGTATTGGAGATACTCCTGCATTCCACCATTGACCGGTATTGCTGCTCCGAGTTCTGCAAAACATGCCGCACCTGCCCACGCAAGTAGACCGGCACCCGCCCAGACAAGAATTGCCGCACCCGGGGACGCTGCATTGTTGTTTATCTGCGACGGGGAAGAGAATAATCCCGAGCCTATCTGGAAACTCACGAGCAACGAGTAGCCATCGAGGAAGGTAAGTTTGTGGGAATTCCCGGTCGCCATTGGTACCTCAATGGCTGAAGCTAAATCTAAAGAGGCCTCTTCATCGCTCCTAGAGAGAAGGCTTGTTTGTGCACCGAGAGCCTCGCCCCCAGTATAAGATTTCTTCGGTGGTCCTGTTTCCGTCATGTTTGCTCAATCTAGATTTTAATTGGAATCTTTCTAGGCGGAAAAATCTGAAAAAAAAACCTATTAGCTTCGACCGGGCACGCAATAGAGCTTCCTTATCTCACCTTAAAAGAGAAAAAAAAGAAAGAAAATAAAAATATAGTAAACCACCCCACAACTGCACGAGACCCCGAATAGTTTCGTCGCATGGGAACATCCGGTCGTCTTTATATCCTACCGGTGAGTGCACCTCGAGGGTAAGAAGAAACCTGGAGCATTCGCGTAGCATCAATTTTTATTTCCATCTCTCACCCTCCCAATAGGTGACTGGGAAACCTGCTAAGTGTATCACTCCCTTTTTTCTTTGCCCCCCTCCCTCTTGCTGCCGATCATCTCGCCCGTGTACGATATCCATCAGTACTCGAGCAGTGATGTATATGCATTACGACGAGGGGTTTTCACACTGTTTTAAACAGCAGCTGTATGGCAGCACCAGTCCGTGCCGGGGTAACTTGTGCCCTACCCGCGTGGTGCATTTATTCCACACAATGTGATCAGGAAAGAAAACCATGCTCTCACCACCATCCCGGGAGGTTGGGAAATTAAGCCGAGGCACACATTAGCCCTAGGTTCGCCGTCGCCAGTCCTGTACGCACTGTGCGCCATCAACAATCACTTTCCCCGATGACATTCGCAGGGGGTACTCAGGTAGTCGCCTGGAGGAGGCTTGTTGGCGATAATCAGTGGTGCTCATCACGCATTATGTCTTACCGAGTGAGAATTTATGCCACCTGATGTTGGGTTGACATGCGCGTGGTCCCCCCTGCTTGGGTCTAGAGGCTATGGCTTAGCAACCCTGCCATTCCGAAATCTGAATTATTATTTTTGACCCCGACAATGCACATGACTTGTATGGCGTGCTTGAAAGGAAAAAAAAGAAACGGCTTTTTTTTTTCACCCCTCCTCCTCCATTCTCGGAGAAAAAAGGAATAAAAAAAGGAACGAAACGCAGCGAGTGGTTTGCCCTTCATCCTCACCTCAAGTTTTTATGGGAAAAGGCGGGGTTATGCGGGAAAAGTAACACAAAATTTTTTTGGCAGGGAAACATGACATGGATCACCCACATCCTCGCCAGCAGAAGCCCGATTCCCAGCACAAGTCTTGCTGTGGACCCCCCTACGATACCACGATATTAAAGTTGAATGGTCCCGCCTCTTTTCCCGCAGCAGTTCAAGGGCTGAGAGTGATGGAGATGCTTCCCCAGAATGAGAAGATATCAACTCGTTGCATATATTGCTCGATTGGATTTACCGTGCCTGAACTCTGCAGTTCTTGTGATATCAATATATGCTCCCGTCTTCGGAGGATGCCCATCCGGTCCACCCATACTGCAAGGTTTTCACGGTTGAAATTTCTTCTGGTATCATAATTGCTGTTATCCTAGGGGCAAGAACTCCGATGGAATTTGTTTCTCGAGTCAATTCCCTTTGCTGACCTAGAGTGAACCTCCTTACTGCAATCCATTTGGGTTTGAAATGCGCCGATAATGGCCTTATTTGGGACAAAAGCCGTTTATCCTGTGCGTCGTCGAGTGAGACCCCATGATTGCCTCTAGGTTGTTCGTCGCCGGAATTGAGAGTTCAGGACCATTAATAAGCCAGAAGTGTTCACGGGGAGTTAGTCTACCATCCTAGAAAATATTGTATATTAGAACATTGGTGCTGGGGGGATAATCCATGAACACCGTCGTACCGCATCATTCATGTCGCCATACAGGCCCCCTTCTGGTAAATAAAAAGGGCGCAAAGCCTTCACGGTTCCTCTCCTCTTTAGCGATTCATAGGCCCAGCTGCATATCAGAAACGACTACTCATTGAGAATGATCCTCCCACCCGGGCGCCCGAGCAGGCTCTCTCGAGCCGAACCCAGCTCCTGCGATGTGCGTAGCCACCCGGCAAAAGGCGTCGTGAAACGGTATTCCTGTTTGCCTGTGGAACTGGCTCCTCGCACAATCCTTGGTCACCGAGATCCCCGCTAAGGAGAAAGCCTGTTTCGGGAAGGCTTTGTGGGAAATGCAGCTATATCATATCACCGAAATCCACAGGCTCCGTCCGTCCGATTTTCAGGCGTATGCAACAGCAGTCTTTTCTCACGAACGCTGCGGTGTTATTCGTGATGTGGTGGCGTTGTGAAGCCAACCGCTATTGCATGCCCTACCACCCAGATTCGTGCCAAAGTGCCAAAATTTGGCGGCAAGCGATGGCAGTCGTGTTCACGAACGCCGATCTACAAAGAGTACGGCATGCGTAGAGTGCACGGGATTATCATTGCTAAGAGGATGATTAGTTACCACCTGTCGCTTCAGAGGATGGTTCAAGATGTGCTGCTGATATCTCCAACAAGCCAATGCAAGATTTTTAGAATCTTGAATTTCAAAGCGGCTTGTTAGGAGAGTTATCCCAATAATCTATCATAATTTGGCTCCCACTTCCTTGCCAATCCAGCTATCGGCTTATCCCTTCAAGGTCCGATATGCACCTTGAATTCTCGAGTATAAAAATTTGACTTGCCAAGAACTACTACATATCTTGATGTGTCACAAAGAGAATCTTTACGTTTCTATAATTCCTTGTTTTTAGGGTAACTAATTGGCCAAACTAGAGCTGCGTGTTATGCTCCAAAGTTTCGGGGAGGCCGCTGTGATCTATCGTATTAAAATGCATGGAACATTTGAAAAGGGTCGATATCGACATGTCTTATTCGGCGCTGATGGGGGGCTACTCACCGTGCTACTGTATGGTATCGTATCATACACGGATCTAGACAAATTTGATATTGGGAATGCTACGACGGATTGTAAATCAGATTGAACTTACACACTGGTGTTTCATGGAATTGCACCAGAGCAACTGCCACGTCCTCAACACACCCCTTCTCACCCTGCAACGCCTGTCTCGCCAAGTTCAATCAAATATATTATCCTGGTATCACCGAACTGGAGGATAACCAAGGGACCAGTAGGAGCTTGGCCCAAACTTATGGTACGGTGGTGTAAGGATCTAACCCACAAGTGCTTTTTCTGGAGAAACACCGGCTTGAAAATATTATTATACTAAGGGAGGAGCCGAATCGGGAGTACAGTCCTCAGAATTCTAAAATCATCCCGTCAGTTGAGTGAGGGATAGTAGGGCACAATACCCTACCCAATTTATTGTCTAAAGTCACTTCAGTGACACTGTGGAGTGCAGATATGATACGGTATTTCGTGAAGAGCAGCCACTTATTGTCAGCCGCTAATCCTGCCTACACTACCGTGCTATGGATATTTTGGTGAATTGAACGGTGCCAGCCGGGTGTTTGTCTGATCCGTTGGAGAGAAAAAAACACCCCCAACCGGCTAAAATCACAGCTTTTGTCCCAAATCCTGTTTTTCGGGGCCATTCGGAGAGTGGGAAAACCAGGCCGACCTGCCAGTTATTTTCGAAATAATACGGTCTCTCTCACGCGAGAAAACCATCCGACGCTTGTAGTCATCGGCCGCCGCAGAGCTGATGGAATGTGAAACTTTTTCATCTCTCTGCGGCTGAACACCCGGGTACAGTACACTTTGTGATTAGCTTTTAAACCGCACTTCCTTCGTAACCCAGCGGCAATGTCTCACCAAACCATTGTTTCTGGTCGTGGAACGATGAAGATTTTGCATCCCATCCACTTTAGGGTGGTTTTGAGCTGGCTGTATTGATAGAGTGTGGTGCGTAAGCAAGTGTCATATCATAGAGTACCACTAGGGGGGAAGTACGGAAGTAATGGCAGGTACACCTAATACCCGACCTAAAAAACAGAGCACAATGACCTATATTTACGAGGCCCTAGTAATCATAAATATTGCTTGTAGTCCCCTTCTGCTACATACGGAGGTATAGCCACTAAGTATTGTATATTTCACTAGGGATGGATGTTCGGCCACAAGGGGTAAAGGTATGGAATCGGGTATGATGACTACCCGATCAAGTATGATGACTGCCCCGATTCACCCCATGACCCCTGCTAATCCAAGATGCCTCATTAGTGAAATATACAGTACAATACTTAAGGGCTATACCTCCGTACTTTCCAACATAGAGGATCTAGCAACTTTGGCCATCTATTCGGAATTTGGAATCCATGACCCCCTCAATACCCCGCCTACTACAAATCCAAGCTGCAGTCTTTCACCACTGATATCCCCATACCGAGTACCCTTCCAGCCACGACCGGGCCTTGCTATTGGCAATCACTGATCGACATACATTCTTTTCTTCTTCGAGGATATTTCAATTCCTAATAGCCAATCAGTGAGGTCATCAAACCGCCGTCAAGATGATCCTGCAACGTTATCCTGGAAATCACAATTTGGAGGTAAAATCCGGAACTCGACTTTAGCGTCTTGGCTTTTGGTATGCGCAGAGTACCCGAGATCGGGAAATTGCGAGGAGTACTATGCATTAGCATACTATCTCTGGTGCTTCGTCATCTGTACTAACATGTCCTCGGGCATGAGCTGCAGAACAACACACGCCAGTAGACCCAGAAAGAGGATTCAGGGACTTGGTTTGTATCAGGAAAAAGTCCTTGACTGTCTGCGGGAGGTGGTAGTATCTGTTATCACAGAAACTCACTCGTCATCGCCCTCGAGGGTTTTGTTGGAAATGAAAGTGATCAGACCGGAGGCCGCACAGAGTCAAGAGAGAAAAGGGGCTAAAGAGAGACCAGAGGAAGAGTACAGAAAATGGATGAAAATATAAGAGAAGAAAATCCTCAGTGTTAGTGCATTATGTTGACGTGTCCTGGTACGTACGCACTTGCCCGGATATTCCCAACAGGTTTCTTTCGGCTTCGTGGTGGTCGCGCATCCAAGTCCAATGCTGACCATTGGGCCCTGGGCTCCCACATTAGCTCTGTCTGAGGTATGGACCTTATCCCCAAGGCACTTTTGGGAACCGAGCTGGGGGGGTTAGTACTGGCGCTGGAGTTTAATGGGGTGCAAATGCAGGTGGAAAAGAATTCAGATGGGGCATAGGAGTCAGCTACTTAATACTACCAGTCGCCGTAATCCGTAGCGTAGCACCTTCAAATCGTCGTGGCTCAAAATGGCACATGCCCGCCCGAGTGTCCCTCTACCAGTTATTCGAGAAACGAATCATAATCCATGACTCCGAGTCCAGATTGAATTCCAACAGCCACTGACGGAATGAGAAGAAAATAAACAGAGCTCAGTATTTAACGATAGTGTCGAATCAAGTCTGATAGACTAGTTAGAAATGATGATTACGCGTTCAGTTCGCTGTATACATTTCTCCTATACTACCCCTTTGTAGTTTACCTTATAGTCTCTCTACCGGGACCTTCTCCTTTACTTCTTAGCTTGCTCTTCTTCAACATACTACTACTATCAATCAAGAACCTCTTCTTCTCCGATTCCGCATACCCAGTCATAGTTTCAACAAGACCCAGTCATGATGCTTTAAGAGCGACTTGTGGACCGAAAGAGCAAATTTTTAAAGGAAGTGACCAACCCCCCCTCGCACCATACAGCATTTTCACCGATGCACAAGTATCCCGTACAAAGTGCTCAAGCACTAGCGTCCGAACTTAGCATGGGGCTCTTATACCTATATAGATAATTCGCGATACGAACTCTTAACCCCTCGGGGCTGGAATTTAATCCTCGCTCTACAGGCTCCGCACCAAATCCGAGAAACCCAATCAAGAGCCGAGCAGTTGATCCCCGATCCCACCCGACCCCAGGTCCTCCAAAACCTTCCAGTCCAATCTGGCTCCCTCCGGCGATTAATCGCCCCCCGGAAGCTATAGTAAAAGTTCCCAAGTCACCAGAAGCAATCCCCCCCCCCCCACCTCCCCCACAAACGAAACATTGTCATATGTGCCCTCTAGTTTCCGGACCCTTTTTTTTTTCTACCATCGTCCAAAGCCATCCGAAGGATTATAATTACAACAAAAGAGACTAAGATACTCCAAAAATGCACGCGCGCACACACCTTATCCTAACCATCCTATCACAGCCGATCACTCGACTCACGTCAGTGCTGGATACCGAGCGCCAGGTGAGAAGAAGCGGGCCGAGAAGGTGAAGAAAGTCGAAGGGTGTGATAGCATGGGGAGCGCAGGTCCGCGCGCGCTGGTAAGGAACAATTGGTCCATGGCGTAGTCCACACTTTCCTATAGCAAGTATCGCACACAACGCGGCAATCGCGCAGCGGAAGGGAGACGCTTATCGCGCAAACGATAAATCCGCATTCTATGATAATACTCTGAAAGAAACTTTTTAATTTAGGTGGGTTATTTCAACTAGAAGTTGCCCCCTCCCCCCCCCCCGAGCAGTCTTCGAGTAGTACTCTAAAGAAGGAGGGGACTGTCGAGGCGTGGTTGGGAAGCGATCGGTTAGCATACGAATTTAAATTATCCAAACGTACTGTACTGTACTGTACTGTACTGTACTCTTGCCGAAGTGGTCGTCTAACTTTTTCACAACATGATAATCATAATGGTGATAATCGTAATGCAAGCTGTCAAGCTCGTGTTGACCTCCCCAAAGCTGGCAGAGATTTCGTCCATAAGTATAATTTTCTAGGTCCTGTTTTTTTCTTCTTCTTTTTTTTCTTTCCCTATTGTTTCTCACTACTTTGCTAATACCGTACCGTACTGTACCTCTAAATGCGACATTGTATGATATTAAAAATCCAACAGACAGTAAAACAGAATGACTACAGCCTACCCCGTCAATCTAAGCGATACCGCTCCTGGAGCAATTTTGCCTTACTTGGGAGTGTGGATTACAGATAGTGATAAATGTGAGAGGAAAGTATAGATGATAATAATATCATACTCCCAGTCAGCGCCCCGGGAGAGGAGAGGTGGAGAGTACGGTAGACTAGTCGCTCACGGGCACACAGCATGGTTCATGTACTGTACTGTACTGTACTGAGTAGTGGTTTACCGCTTCAGCGTTAGAACCCACTATTCCCGCTATGTAATAATGATAGAGAACTATATTCCAGTTCGAGTCAATATGGTACTCCGACTATTGAAGGAATTATCTGAGGGATGCAGTCTACATGTGGGTAAATATTGAGAGGACGCATCAGTGTCGCAACTCCCCTTGAGAATTCCCGCCCGAAGAGACACCCCCGATCATCGAGCTACGACACTATTGGAATTTAGAGTAGGGAGTAGTAGTAGGCGACAATGTGGGCGGAAGTTGTCCACCATAATAAGGAAGACAAGAACTCCCAGTGGAAATTAATTTTCCATTCCCGCTTTCCTTTTTCCCTTTCCTTACTCGTGACTTTTCACCACACTCGAAGGGATCGAATATATGATCTGCCGCGATTCCCAGTAAAGTTATGGTTATTGTTGCAATGGATGATAGCGGTCCCGTCCTCGCCAGTATCAATCTCCACTGCTCGTGTGCTTATCGGAGTGGATTACATATATATATATCATCAGCTTGAACAATAATTTATCAACCTCCCATCGCGGACTTTACCGTTCAGCTTGCCGGACAAAGTCCAAGTGCGCTGCGTAAGGGTACTGTACAATACCGAGAACTTGGAACCTCCCTGAATACAGTACAGTACAGTGCTGCGCTGGTTCGCAAAACGCAGTCACATACAACTTTCCAATCCATCACCATCTGCCAGCGAGCGAGGAGCACCGCACTGCGCACTGCGCATGAAATGCACACACAAAAAAACCAAGTGACATTTCATGACCGCCGTACAAAATTGACCACAACGCCGCCCCCATGTCCACCCCGCACGCACCATGAAAAAAAATAAATGGAACAAAAAGTACACTTTTCCTCCACCCAATCCTCATAAAAAAAAATATAAAAAAATGCAGTGTGCCCTTTTTTTCCCTTTTCCCAGTTTTTTTTTTTTTTTTCGTTTTGTTTTGCCATGTGTTCACATCGAAAAGCATTATATATATCCATCAGTTCAACTGGTCAATTGCAAAGTTCCGATTGCCAGTGGATTAACAACGAAACGTTAGTCTAACCTTAAACCTTAAGCTATGATTAACTTATCGATAACTCGTACCGGTTCTCGAACACATTCAGCCTTGCATGTCATAAGGGATGTGAGGTAGGGAGGGAGAGGGGTCTTCACAACGATGGTCATCATCAACATCATCATCATCGTGAGAGTGAGACATAGGGGGGGGTGTGTGTATCATGAGGTAGCGTTGTCCGTGCTCGTATTGTAGGAACGTACAGTACACACACACACGGTAATTTACCGTACTTGTAACTCGACTTCGCGCTGCGAGTGGGTTGGTTTTTCAATGTGCGAACTCGCATGCATGCGTGAGCGAGTGCGTGCCATTCCATTTAATCGACCGAAAGGAAGCGATGACGATGATGGAGCTGGGTGGTCGTCTCTTCTTCCTCGCGGGTGCCAGTGCTTGTGTCGAGTAAACTCGCCAGGAAATGGATAGGATTGATTGATTGGATTGGTCTTTGCTTTTGTTCCCTCCCCGGGGTCAACCACAGTGGAATCCGGCACATGATCCATCTATGTCAACAAGCTCGCGGTTATCGTGAAGCCAAGACTAGTCGTCGTAAGCTAAGCTTTCGTCGTTGCCTGGAGGAAGAAGAAAAAAGTCTGTGATGTCGCCGGACCCGCCCGAAGTCCTGGCCAGAGTACGTATATAACTTTATCGTGAGTTTAACTGTAGACTTAGACTGCTCGACTCTGCCTTACGTCGTCCATCACTTTTGCGCGATGGAGTAATCATCATCCATCATCCACCTCACATCATAAATAGCGAAAAGTGTGGTGACACAGCTGACCGACCGACTGACCGACCCTTAAAGCTGGGGTTGTAAATTACCGTAACTTAATTCCACCCTCTCTCTCTCTCGCTCGCTTGGAAAATAACAACGAACAACAAGACTACCCCCCCCCCCTTCCTTCGAATTGAGTCATCGAGAGTAAATATATTGATTTTGATTTTGATTTTTTCATGCGGGTTGGGGTCGTGCGAACAATCTGTACAGTACAGCGGTTTTTTCCCCCTTTCTGTGGGTGAGCGTGCGGAGTTTCCGGCGCTTACTCCGGAATTTTGGAATTGCTTTGCTTTGCTTTGCTGGCTTGCTTTCTGGATGGGCTTGGGTTTTTTTTTTTTAATCATTATTGACAACGAGAAATGGATCAATCTTTTGTGTTCGTGGGAGAGTGATGTGGAAAAATGTAATAATATTATTATCCGGGTGACCATTTTATCTGGTGTTATTTTGATGTCGTGAGAACTAACTAATACAAAAACAATCAAGAAGGTATCATAAATCATCAGATAGCCCCTCCGCCCAATTTTCTCCATCCATCCAGAACAAAGAAATGAAAGGGAAAAGCGAATGTACAGTTACATGAGAAGGAAGATGGAAAGAGAGAAAACAAATATCCGCCGGAATGACACACAAGGAAAAATTGTTTTTTCAAGTACCGTGGATTAACGAGTGAACGCCCTCCAAGTGTGAGAACGATCAAAATCAAAAAAAGAGAGAGAAACACCTAAAGCGCCCGTTCCAGATAAAGGAAAAAAAGAAACAAGAATTGGAAGCTATCATCGAGATAGCGGTGTGTCGCTAATTCACTATCGTACCCCCCGCGTGTCCTTCCTCCTCCCCGCCCGCGCGCCCTCAATTTTCCTGCTGAAACAGCCCGCTCACTGCTCTCCGGACCGACACACCACCAAATAGCCATTCATTCGAGTGCCGTCCGTACTGTGCCACTGTCTGGCGCCGCTGGACACTGCGCAGGCTCTCGGTGCTCCTGGACCGATGGTGTTGTTGTGGTATTGATGTCGGCGGCTGTGAGTACGTTTTCTTGCTTTGGTGGTGGTGGTGATGGGGGACGTAGGCCTTGACCTTGTCAAGGGTTTTGTCGAAGAATTTCAGGGTGTGACTATCATTGCTTGAGGTAGAGGTTGTTGGTGAGCATGCCGGAGTGGAGTTGGTGGAAGAGGCAGTGGAGGTGGAGGAGAAGCTGTTGGTGGTCTTGAGAGGGGCTATTTTAGACATGATGGTTTTTGGAGGTTTGGAGGGTGAATTGAGGTTTTATGTGGAGTCTGGAGATTTGGTAGTTGAAGTAGTAGAAGTATCAGTAGTAGCAACTTGTGATAACGGTGGATAGTAGATAGTAGGTAGGTATGGTGTGGTAGAGAGATGTAAACACTGCTCGATAGTGTGGTGAGAGTCCTGATGATTGCGCTCCTCTTGTTCTTATAGTATTCCCTAGTCCTATTCATGCATCCCTCCGTGCTCACTCGCCCACTCACTCACTCACTCACTCCCTAATGACCAAACGACATCATGCGTCTTCGCACTCTCCTTCCTTCCTTCCTTCCCACCCTGCATCCTGTGCAACCTGTCGAACCAGCATGCCCTACTCAAGCATTTGTACTCGACCACAGTAGAGATGCGGTAATAGTACCTTCGCTGCGCAGCGCCAGATGTAGGCGTGCAAAACCATTCAATAACGTACCCATACACCGTTGTCCAGACCAAGTCTAATCAATTAACACGGCGGGTCTAAGAAAAAAAGAAAAAAAATATAGAGGAAAGGAAAAAGAAACGAGAAGGGGAAAGCACATACCAGTATTCTCATTATTTCTGATACGCTATTTGCACATTTGCGCACAACTTGCAGAGGTGTCAACGTATCACGAATGGAGTGAGGAACAGTTCCTGCCGATTTGTGGAAGGAATACTGTAACTTACATCCCTCATCCATGCACCGAAGGCTGTAAATTTACTTGTAAGATAAATTACGCCTTGGGGCAACCCTGACACACACCGCACCAAACTTGGAGGACACTCACGTTGAAATAAGAAGCGGCTGAAGTGAAACTTACCGTTGCGTAAGGGTTGGGTGCCCTGAAAAGTTAAGTCCCGACCCTACAGAGTTAGGATATGGCGTTCAATTCCGGTTTTTAGACAAACGGGGGGGATAAAGGTTGTTTGAATACAATGGCGCCTATCGGTTCTCTCCGGTTAATGCAGTATTAACTTGGAACAGAAGGTATGATATTTTCAGAGCCGAAGTGCCTTTACTGTCCCCCGGTACTGATCAGATGGAGGATCATTGAAAGTGGAATCTTAGACAATTGAAAAAGTACTTGTAACTTCGCAGCAGGGGTTGTCGAAATGGGTCGTTCTTGCCTACCATCTCTGCCCACATATAGTGCGCGTGGTCTATTATACCAACAGTAATTTCCATATTTTCCTGATCTCCCACCGGAACCCAGTCACAAGGTTGATCCATGGTAAATTACCTCCGTTGAGAAATTACAGTACCAGTGTTCGAAGCAGACGATACCCGCTGTCATCCTGATGCTGTTCGTAAAATGGCACTTTTGAGATATCCATAAACTTGTGAAATTCGCGAATATAGAGTTGGAAAACCATCTGGCGGCCCACCGTACAGTACAAACTACAAGGTGTTGAAATCCAGCGTTTCTTTATGTGTGGAGTGACCATTTCATCGACACCTTTGCCCCAGGAACCGCACCAAGGATCTGAAGTGTCAAGGATGAGCGCCGTTATTGGTCCGCCTGTGGAAGGAAGGGTCGTGGCAGGTGGCAGGGGTATGCTATCATTGACGGGATGACGGCGATGAGGCAGGCTGACAATTCTGTGGTTCCCAGTCCTCCTCTCCGTCCATCCGGGACGTGTCCAGGACGGCGAAGACAACCCTGTCCCGTCTTTGGGCGAACTGGACGGGGCGATGGGCAATCGACCGTGGGCACCTAGAATTGGCCAATGCACCTAGTTACTTCTAGACCCACACTGGCACCGCAACAAGTTGGAATAAATGAGCAGAATAGAGCAATATGCTATCCACAAAAGAAACCCCGGGACTAGTTGCGATCCGACGGCCGTCCGACTGGACGACTGGGAGCACTGGCCAGAACTCAAGAGTTCCGTTCCTGACCGCAACTGAATTGTGTTCGTTGAGTACGGGCCGCAGGACTCCTATTCGGACATCAGCGTTTAGTCCGTGAGCATTCCAAACAGACAGCTTCCGATCCTGGCAACCCCTATTGGCCGCAGAGGTAGGGAAATCCTGTGAACGTTCTGAAGTTTTTTATTTGCCGGAAGGGGCATATATTTATCTCTGGGAAGTTTGACCAATACCACGGGTTAGTTCACGACTCAACTCACTCCCCACAACTTTCTACGAACAGCAGGTACAAACTCGAGGTGTTTTTCCCATTTGGCGAAACTCCTCCCACCCCTGCTCGCACGCCTGTGAAATCCTCTGATTGCTCGATCGCGGCTCTTTTTGCCTAACGAGCGATAAACCCCGCGCATCACGGGACGGTTACAATTACGGTGTTGTGCGCTAGACTGGTTTCGGAATTTCTCGCCCCGTATTTTACCGTAGGCTCATTTGAGACGCTGCGGGCACGATGAGTGTAGGAAGCGCAAGGCGGACTGGATTGAAATGAGCTGGAGCGGACGATTGTTTTTTTTGCTCGCATGGCGGCTAAGGGGGGGGGGTGGAGGGGGAGGACGTGGATTGATGGATGATCGCTTGCAGGGCGCCGTATATATAATAATAATAATACGAGTTGTGATAACTGTACGATAAGTACAGTACAGTACAGTAAGCATTTGGACTCGCCTACTATGTTCGTACAGTCATGACGGGGGGTACCGCATTGTACTCGTACTTGTACCGGTGTTGGCCGGGGGAGGTAGGAATTTCTCTTTGCTTTTCTGTATAGCAGCCGCAGATCATATCTTACAATAACTCGAGTACTCGAGTACATATAATAGCAACTCTTGTCTAGTCACCACTGTCAAGTGCTGACTTATGGGGGTGGGGCTTCCGAAAGTTTGGTGAGAGATTGCCATGAGCTGAGTGCTATCATAATAATATAAGTAGCTTTTGTCCTCTCCACCCGACACACCGGTACCGGTATCACGGTAGTTCTGCTCGGAGCTTAACGCAATTTCTTACTCATATCGATCGCACTTATAACCACGGCTTCCAGAGCGGGATCACGATATCGTATGGTGGAATATATCTCGCTACTGGTACCGGTGTACTAGTACAGTATACAGGAGTTATCATAGCTTGAGCTGAACCCTTTTTCTTCTTTCCTTTTTGGCGGAATAAGTTATCATAACTCGAGTCACTATCGTACTTAAATTACCCATCCTATAACTATGAATTCCCATATACCGACCGACCGACGAGAATGATATGATAATATTATGACATGCCGAGCACAGCAACCCGACCCCAACCATCACAAAAGCCCCAATTCCAGTCCCGATACCAATACCAATAAAGAAACCCCTTGCAAAACCCCAACCCAGATCACCCGAGCAAACCTATCACAATCACCGAACCGCAAAAGCGAGAAATCCAGACCACTCTCCATCCATCCACTCACACATACCCAACTACACACACAACACACACACTGCAACCGAAAAACCATGGGGGGGGGGGGAAGCATTATTCAAGTACTGTACCAGTATGATAAACCAAAACAACCCTTGCATAGTCTACATGCACAATATATATAACAACCTCACCAATCCAATCCAATCCGATCCGATAAATAAAAAAATAAAAAAAATAAAAAAATAACCCCCAAAAAATTCGCCGTATCGGACCGATAAAGGGATCCAATCGACCCTTTAACACATTTTTTAAAAGTTCCTCCGGGGAAATTTTATCGTACTCATTCGCTCGTTTACCGGTTGGTCGAGTTCGCCCTGTCGATAACTTACAGTTGCTGTGAACCGGTATGGTGTTATATAATGTTATCGAACGAACGAACGAACGAACGGATAGCTTGATGTGATATTGTGGATTGAATTAATTACGCTACGCTACCGGTACTATAACTGTGGGCAACTTTTTTTTTTTTTTTTTTTTTTTTTTCCCCTATCGATCGGCGCTGGGAATTTCTATTCCTAGACGGCAAAAGTTATCTTATGAATCAATCTGAAGAGTTTCAGCTCTCTATGATATCGGTACTTATAGTCTAGAGGTATGCGGTGCGGTACGACTATCGTAGCTGTCATGGAGCGACCGGGGAACTGTTTGTGGGAATTATTCCCGGGACCTTTACTCGTGTGCTTCTTGCTTATGTATCATAGCTTGATATCGGCTTTTTGCGAGTTTCGCGACGGTGTGATGGCTGATACCACGATTACGCGTATTTCTTCAAGAAAAGGTATTTAAAGTGCATCTTTTCTTCTTCTTTTCTTTTTCTTTTCTTTCCTTCCAAACATCTTTTGTACGATGGTTTGTCGGAGCTGCGGTGGGGATAGCATTGGTACATATCTATCGATTGCCGGTACAGTATCTGCCCAAGTACGGTTGTCACTTACTCCATCGCTCCGGGGTAAGAATAGCCGCGAATGACGGCTGCCTCAAATACTCTAGGAGTCTACTCGTACAAGTACAATTATGGTTTGAAGCAGGCATGATTGTGTATCATACTAAAATCGCCCGTGTCAAACGTGCCCTGGCATGGTGTGGAAATCTGGGGTTACCGGTATGGTAAATTTAATCGAATGACGAGGCCAACATATCACGGCGAGCATGGCATGGCAGACCCGTGTGGTTGGGTTGCCGGCTCTACTTATACTCATATCATATCATACTTTATCCTCCATGTTCACTTTCCTAACTGTGCTTTAATCATAACTGATTGGGTGATAAGAAGGCTGGTTAGGTATTGAAATATGCAATAAACGAAACGAAACAACCGAAATAGGGCAGAAAAAAAAATAAACACCCCTCCCCCTTACCCCACCCTTTAATTACAATTTTTTTCTCTGTACGAGTAAAAAAAAAAAGTGAGACAGAACAAAACAAGGCGCCGAAATCTATATCACATTTTTAGAAAAATTTACCGTATGCTGCTCCGGATTTTTTTGGTACTGTACCGTACGCGTACTCAAGTACGAGTACTGTACTGTAACACAAATAAAAATCGAAATCAAACTGCTGTGGCAAAGCAAAGGGGAGGAAAGAGACCGTTGTGGCGAGATGTATGATATACTAGAGTATCCTCGGTAACTCCGTAAAAGGTCTGACGCCCTTTGCATCTTCAAGCTCAATCACTTTCCACAGCGCATTCTTAGCGTTCTTGACGTCTTTTTCCAGCTCGAAAGCCCTGGATAGGGCGAACCATGCTTCGGATATATTCCACCCCCGCGGTGAGGAAGTGAGGGATTGGAGGAGGGCCAGTGCACGGTTCTTTCCAATTATCCATGTCTGCGGGAGTGGGCCTTGGAGTGTGGGGGGGAGCTCCAGGAGGATTTCACAGAGGCCTATGATGGCGGGTGGGTAGTTTACGTCTATCATTAGCGCTGCCTCAAAGAGCTCGGAAGCTTCGGATATTTTATCTTGGGAGAGAGCGAGATAGCCCCGCTAGTTTATATGTTAGTCACTGCAAATTCGAGGGTGAAACGGAAGGGTATGTGCCTCAGCAAGAACCTCTTGACTACCCTCCCCATCACTGCCGACAAATCCGGTCGCCTCGTCTATGGCCATGGTTGCATCATTGAAGAATTTGCCTCGCCGGTAGAGTGCTGCGACGAATAGCCAGACGCTGCGGAGGAGTGCGATGGCTCGCCGCTTCTCATCCGCTTCCTTCAATTTTGGCTCTGGAACTCTCATGGGGCGGCGAATCGATCCCGGATTTCTGACCACTATGGTGTGGCTGAGAGCGCTGATCGGATGTGGGAGATTTGATTGTGGGGGGTTGGTGGGAATATCTGCTTCCTTTGGTCTCGGGCCATTGGTATCGGATTGGTTATTGTCCGAAGCCCCATCTGGTGCCGGGCTGGGGTTAGGGGGAGACTGGAGGATGACATCCTCCTCTGGTTGGCTGCAATAGAGCTTGGATTTGAGAATGTGGAAGAGCTGGGGTTGGATTGGGCTTCCGGAGCTATCGAGGTGGCCGTTACCCGTGTCCATACCCGTCGATACCGACGACACACCTGCACTACTCATAGGCAATGATGGTGTGGGAGGAACCTCGTCGCGTTTTTTCAGTCCAGATCTCATCGAAGACGATGAAGATCTTTGACTACTAAGCGACCTAATCCTTCTTATTGTCCCACCAGAGACGCTATTACGGCGTAGGGCCCTTCGCTTTTCCCGTGGTATCTCGGCTGGCGAAGTTCCCCCATTGGTATCCGTAATTTGAATTCTTGGCGGCGTGAACGGTGTATCTAGTGATTCGGCCACTGACTTGGGGCGTCGCTTTGTAAGCGAGCGGCGACTCGCAAGGCTGGATTTCCGAAGAACACCCGATCGCTGCGGCGGCTCTCCTGTCGAGGAAGGAAGATTTAGAGAAGGTGTAGATAGTTCTTTTTTGTTTCTCCCGAATAAGCGCGATAGCCGCTTGGCCGTTGAAGGCCTTGACGAATTGCTTGTGCGGGTTCTCACGTTCGGTTGGTTGCTATCAAAACTATCTACTGGGCCAAACTCGCGCCTGGGAATGCCATTGAAAACTCGGCGATAGAGATTCAAGAGTTCTTCAGTCATTGTCATGGCTTCGTCAAATCCTTCTGTTACCTCGACAAGTAGCAATCGCGTCATTTGGACCTGTAGGGCTGATTCTTTTTCTCCAATCTGGAGGCTTTGTGCGTGGTTGCCAAGAATTTCCAACGCCTTTGAACAGGCGTGTTGTGCACTATCGTACTCCCCTGTCGCACTCATTAATAGCGCTAATAGATGTAATATTGGGATGGCTCGGCGCCGATAATCGCCTTCGGTGGCCTCGTGGGCCAAGGCTTGTAATCCCTTGTCAACGCCTTCCATTGCGGATACTGTGTCTCGTAGCCCAGTATACACCAAGGAAAGCCCATACCAAGCATCCACATCTGCACTATTATAACACAGACCTTTTTTAAAGGCCCTCTCAGCCGACTTGAGTATCGCATCTCTATCGTCGCCTTCGGTGGTGTGAAGGGCCCAAAAGGCGTTGGCGATTCCAATCGCTCTGTACACTTCGGATAGCACTCCCTCATCTCCAAAGCGCCATTCATCTACCCACTTTTCACATTTTTCGGCAAGATCCAGTCCCTTTCTCCCTTCTCCTATATGCTTGCATAGAAATCTTATGCCTTCAGCCGTTGTTTCGAGTATTTCCTTGTCTGAATCAAAGTCAACCTCTGTGCTCCCTTTGGCAAGCCTCTCCTTTCCCTTTTCGACCAGGTCGAGATATGTGGTTAAGGCCAACTCCGCCTCCAAGAGATTCCCCACAGCCGAGAGGGCGAAAAATAAATGTCGGAGGATCCTAGGCGAAAGGAATGTCTTTGCTGAGGCTCGGTATAGAATTTCCACTACAGCAGGCGCATCTTCTGCAGATCCGCCGGCCATATGCCAATTCTCAACAACAATATCAACCCATTCTCCAATAGGCTCATGATACCCTACCGCCTCTGGGAATTCTAGGTTCCTCAGGAGATAGCCTTCATATATGCCTTCCACAACCTTGAGCTCGTCTCTCAGCTCTGACATCGATCCAGGCTTTTCACCCCACCCGGTGTTGGGGTAATTTGAACCGTTGGACACTGTCGAGCCCTTTTCCTCCAGTGGCGAAGACGATGATCCGGAGGGCAGGTTTCGAGGCACTGGCCTTTGGGGATGGTGAGAAGGCAAAAGTAGAAGGGATAGGAATCGGAAAAAGTATCTATACACTTCCTGCCTTTCTCTCTCCTTCCTAGTCTCAGACCCAATGTGCACAGAGGCAAAGTTGGTCTTCGCTGTGCTCGGCCTTCCGGTGCTCGGCGTCCCCGCGTTAGGCCTTGTGACGCCGGATTTTGCTGTGCTGGGTCGGGGCTTGGTCTGGCTGAATCGTGAAATGAAGGTGCGGAAGGTTCGAAAGGCAATTGCTACTGTTGCTTCATCAACTAACGATTTTCCGATAGCTACTCCAACTTGCTCTTCCTCTTCCTCTTCTTCAACCCCTCTCGATACTGGGTAGATGGGGGTAGCTCGCGCAGTCCCAGGACGACTGTTTACCTGTCTAGGAGTAACGGGAATAGTTGTGAGCGGTGGATGGGGCACGTCCGGTGCGTTGTTGTCCAACCAGCAACGATATGCCGCGAGAGCGTAATGAGCGAGAGCTCTCTCAGTCCATAAGAGCAGCGAGGGTGAGTCACGTTGGGTTCCTGAAAGTGCTGTTGCAAGCCTTGTTGCAGTACGGTATAACAACAGTGGCAATGACAGATCGCTTGGATTCGTATGGGAAAGGGCAATCCCTAAAACGGTTGTGAGCAAATTTGGTGATCTGGTCATCAAGAACCAAGCTCAATCCTGTACCTGCTCATCTCAATCCGCTCTGCCGACCGCATATAAATATCCATGAGATCACCCAGCAAATCGAGAAAACAGGAGAGCAGATGAGGACAGAAAGGAAAGTACGGCCCCTACGCACCCTTAAGAACAAGCGACTTGACCCTCACAATGTCAAAGTACTCCCCTTTAGACCCCCCTCCATGTCCTCCATCCCAATCCTCGACCTCCTGTTCGTGAGGGATGATACGCAGCGCTTCATCCCACTCCCCTTTCAGCACACATACTGACGCAATCGCAACTCTCGCCTGAACCAGGTCCTCTCGCGTTATAACAGGGCTCCATCCGCCGCCAGCGGGGGTTGGTAGCTTTGGTGGCTGCCGGGGGGACTTGTCCAACTCGCCCTCTAGTGGATCTTGCAGGGCGTCGAGCGAGATAATATAGGATACGATGGTAGAAGGCGACGAGTCTGGCGGCGGAGGGGGTAACAGTTGTTGAAGACGTGCCTCGGTTTGTGCCGTCATAGCAAGACCTGAAGCTCAAGATATTAGTCGAGCAATCAATGACATCCGGAGGCTACCGGGTTGTAGGTAAGGTGAAGCACATTTCCGGCCGGGCACATGTTTGATAACCTTTCGACAAAACTCTGGAATAGCCTCCCAATCGCCATCACAGCGAGCGGTGTCGAGCAGCTGAAGAGCGTTGTTTCCCTTGGCCTAGTAGCGGAACAATAATGGGTGTCAGCTAGATGACGTCTCAACCAGGAAACTATGACGCCGAAGGTAGCAGGGAACAATACCGTGCTCATAGAGACTTCAGGAGACTTGGGTATCGAATCTAGGTTTGTAATTGAGTAAGATTGAATATCTTGAGATTTTTTATGATTGCGTATGGGAAAAGGAGAGTTGTTGGTGTTGAAGGTATGGAGAGAAGCTTTGGAGGGTGTTGAGGCTCAAATCACGGAAATCCTGCGCGCTGGCCCATTCTCTGGGCGCACTGCGTGGCGCTGTACAACGCACCACGAGCAATTACCGTGGTTTCCCTAGTCCCCTTCAGCTGGCCCCCGGTCCGTCCCGTTTCTTGGTAGAAGTATCACACGAATAATTTTATCTCATGTAAGTTTTTTTTTTTGTTTTATGGTAAAATGATTGAGAATTGAAGCTTGAACAAACTTTCTTTTTCCCCCCGCTGATCTATCGCCTATTCTGGGTGTTATCGGGGGGGTTGATTTGCTGTTCCATGCCTCGATTAATTAATCTATTTTTCAGCGATCTTTTGGTGCCTGGGTTCCCAAAAAGGCTAGGTCCGCAGCAAGAGCCAGGAGGTTGCAACCCCATGTGCCCAAGGGATGCATTGTACGGTACTATGCTGTGCTCGAGCACTACCGCGCCGGTAGTAGTGCAACACCAGTATTACAGCAAGACACTTGTCACAATAAACTGGGTTCTGAAGGTGAGACCGCAACATTGAAATATTGGAGATCATTGGCAACTTTTTTGTCTTTTGGTAGCCTTGATATCCTTTGTTGGGGGTCTCGTATGTAGAATATGGCCACTGGCGGTTATGTCATTCATTTTTTGGTACTGGAAGAGATATTTTACTGAAGAGACCAAAAATATCTTGGATTAATGAAAGCCATAGCGTCGGTAGTCTGCCTGACTGGAGAAAAATAATGCTGAGGGACAGCACATGGAATAGTGGCTCAAAGGCCTGCGATGCCTTACAGTAATCTATCAATTTTACAGATTTGCTTCGAAGTCGTTCCCGCTGTGGTCGAGGATATGTCTGCCTACCTTACGGTAGGCGCTCGGGAGGGGGGCACTGATAGAACTTGATAAATTGACTCTAGGAGTGCAGCCTCCTCAAAAGATGCAAGGGATTCCGCAGCGATATTGCATAGCGGAGGTATCGCCTGTTTAGGCTCTCATCCAATCGACCACGATCATGGGGAAAACAAAGTGGATGGTTGAGCACCCTGCAGTACCACGGATACTTGCATTATTAACCGGTAGTTCTCAGTCTCTCAGTCACCAATTTTCAATATCTTGGATGGATGAATGAGGAAGGATATCATCCGGGTCCCTGGGCATACCGCGAAATCTCGTGAAATTCACTATTTCCGTCAGCCCTGTAGCCTCCGGATTCTGAGTCAAAGCTCCCGAGAAGGATCAGCGCTCTCCTGACACAGCACAAGACCAGACCTCGGCTGATGTATCTCATTAAGTGGTATTCGCAATTCTGTTAACTTGTCAAATTAAGCCTACCTTGCGCTGATGGATATATGATAGTGGACTACACGAGATTTTATGGTATCATACGATACTCGTCGGGGTATTCAAATTTGACTAAATATGGTCTTGCACTGGTATAATATGGTTCTTAAGGTATACGAGCTAAAGCTGCCAGTATCAATACCAGTACTGTACGGCACAACGGACATGAAGATAAGTTTACAAGCTATGCTTGACTTTCGGTTGCTCCTTTGGCACTTCGGGATTTGGTGCAGACCATCATATAAGCCCTAGTGGTAAGGTTACTTGGTCTACCTTAGGCCTGTCACTATTGCCCCAAGCAGGGGTGTTGGTCGAGGAGCTTTCTCTGCTCCACACCAGTTTTTGGTGGTATTATGATATATAAAAACATACAATTAGGCACACTTGGATGTTGAGTACTGTTGTGGTATTTGTGCTGACTTAAGCACAGTTTCTGACACAAGCTAGTTCAATACCATAAAACTTGGTCTACCTTAGACCTGTCACTATCGCCCCAAGCGGGGGTGTTGGTCGAGGAGCTTTCTCTGCTCCACACCAGTTTTTGGTGGTATTATGATATATAAAAACATACAATTAGGCACACATGGATGTTGAGTACTATTGTGGTATTCGTGCTGACTTGGGCCCATCCAGGGCCACCTGTAGGCCAAGATCTCAAGCGATTGCTTGTGTTTCATTACTAGGACTCGGAAATATTTAACTGTTCGACAGGACTAATTGTTTATAACAAAATCATCTGCATAATATGTATTTACCTAGTGTGGTTAGAGAGTTGTGTGAAGAATGGTATAGTGTCTTAAGTTAAGACAGCATAACGCTTGAGTAAGTATGCCTTAAATAAAATCCATAGCATCAGAAACACGTTACTCTTATTCTCCTATTCCAATTAATTAAAAGTGGAGAGCCTGCAGGCTGTTCACAGGTATATCTTCGAATTGTCTGGGGATCTGGCAACTTCAATTTGTTGTTGCAAGATTCAGCCCGGCAGTTGCCTGGGCACTGCCGCCGGGCTTGGGCGGCTGCTGGTAATTTCGACCAGACTGACCCAGGCTGGCTGTTGACCCATGGTCCGGAGCGGCCACTTGGTATCGCTGTCCGTGCTATTCTTGTTTTAGATCTCGTGTCCTTCCTCTTCATTCGTCGCCGAGTCGACTTCCAAGCAGGTAAACTCCTGTACTGCACAGTACCCATGCAGGCGTCCCTCCCTTTCTCTGACGTAGGACTCTAATATCAACTTTTTATAGCATTCTGCTCTCATATTCCCCACTAGTGTTCCCCATGATACCCGTTCCCACCTCCCCCGTTATGGCCGGTGTCTATATTTGTGCCGTATAGCTGGTAGGGCTCGGCTCCCACGAAATACTGTAAAATTCAATGTTAATGGGGTGGTCTAGAATTTTGACATAACTCAAGAAAATGCAATTTCACGGACAAAAAAGTGACATTACAACAGGTATCTTCAGCTTTGGAGACTCGCAGCTTAACAGGGGTAGATGACATGGTTTTGCTACTAGCACTTATACCATAATACTAGTGTTATTCAGTGTCCGATGGTTGTATCTTGGCGTGCTTCATAGATTATGGTTCGTCTGTGAAAATTTCCACAGTATCGTCCTCGTATCTTGGACCTTTATTATTCGTGGTGGAGATTTTTTTCTTCTTTTAGTGATGGATGGGGTTGTATGGCGCCCAATATTGAAGGGAGTTGTTGTAGCCGCCAGTCGCCTGAATTGTGTTTTTTTACATGCTCTAGTAATTGCGGGTAAACATTAACAAGAAGGAGTGAATATTATTTTTTTTGTACTAAGCTACAGGCAGCTGGAACTGGAACATCAAGAATACAAGGAGGAGGGGACCAAGGATAATAAGAATTATAAGACGTGATGAACATATTATGACCCATTTAAGTTACTCATTTCTGACTACCACCCCTCCCTTAATCTAATAAAAACTGGCCAACTCTAGTGATAGTCCATCCAGAGCATTCTTAATCAGCCTCCCTGTCCGGTTCCCCTCCTTTATCTCTAGATATAGTGATAGGAAACCTCTGGTCCCTAAAGATGCCTCGAGATTTACACCACTCATACTCCATTCTCCACTTATTCCCTAGTTCAGACAATGGCCCACTGCATTCATCCTTAACAGGGGTCATAACACAGCCTCTATACACATCAATACGCTTTAAAGTCTCGATACTAGACATGCAGGTCTTGACAGAAGTGAATCTAATCTCAGCTGTGACAGTCCTCCCTTTGGGCGAATCCACATATCTTAACTCGAACAGCTCATATTCGATCTTAAACCTGTTGGTCTGGGACTGGATATCTGCGTGTAATTGGAGATCGCCGACCCATATCGGGATCCCAGCAATACAAACGCACCTGGTGAAGCCGTCGGCGACCGCCTTGGCGGTATCCTCATCCATGTTCAGGAAACCATCCTCCTGGGAGGGGATGAGGCTAGCTCCTGACGGGTAACGTTCGTCGTACCAGAAGATCCCGCCGTGGTCTTTGACATAGTTGATGTAAGACTTTGCGGCTTTTTGGGTCGTGAAGAAGATGTTCATATCCATGAGCGGTCCCTCACGGTCCTGGAAGGAAACTTGGTCGATTGTGCCGCCACGGATGTTCTGGAAGATTTCGAGGAATGTGGCTCTTCGAGGGATGCCGCAGAGGAAGATGCCACGAGACTTGATCTCCAGTTTATCGTCACCGCCACCTATCTTGGTGG